GCACACCATGGACGCCGAGCCCATGGAAGGTGTCGAGTCGACAGCTGGCTTTGCTGCTGTAAAGTCTGCGAGGACATATAAGGTCAATGACCCTGATGCACCTGGTGGAAAGCGGGACGTCGAGTTTGAGGCGTTGGCGAAGGGGTACGAGTACGGCCGGACAGCAGTCGCGATTAGCGAGTCTGAGTGGAACGTCACCAAGCTCGAGACTATCAAGACGTTCACCATCATTGGCTTCATTCCGAGCGAAAAGGTATTTCCGTCCTTGTCTTGCTCAAGCATGGCGCTGACCACATCTAGTACGAGCCGTTCCTCAACATGGGCGAGACCTGCGTAACAGTCGGCCGCAAGTTTGACGAGATATCCCAACTGGCTCTGTCGTCCCTCATTCACGCCCTTTACGAGTTAGAATCCTATGCCGTCGCTCGTCTCGTTATCAAAGAGAAGAAGGATCCCCATCTTGTACTCCTTGCGCCCCGCATCGAGCCCGATATGGAATGCCTCTACGATATCCCTCTCCCATTCGCGGAGGACGTTCGCGGCTACCAGTTCCCACCCCTCGACCAGGTCATTACCGTCAGCGGGCAAAAGATCACCACAAACCATCGTTTGCTCCCTAGCGATGAGCTAACTGATGCGATGAGTATTTATGTTGACTCGATGGACTTGGGCAGTTTTGGCAATGATGATGAGGGGTAAGTCCCCCTTTCTTCACAACTCAGTGTCATCCCTAACACCCCTTAGAAACCCATCCGAATATGCAGCAATTGACGACACCTATAACCCCATAATTCACCGCCTAAATCAAGCAATCCGCCAACGAGCCGTCGATCCAGAAGGCAAAATCGACCCCGTCCCACCAGTCCTCGTCCGCTACGCCGCGCCCCCTGAAGGCCTTGTCCAAAAGTCCGCATCATCAATCGAAGCCCTCATCACCACGGCAGACGTCAAGAAAGTGCCTCCCAAAGCAAAGGGCAAGCGCAATCGCGAGACGATCAAGCCCCTTTCCGGCCTCGACGTCGACGCCCTCCTCGGCACCGCGCCTAAACGCGCCAAGATTTCCCCAGAGAACGCCATCCCAGAGTTCAAGCAGGCTCTCAATACTGCCGAAGACATTGCGCAGATCAAGGACGCCGCGGCGCAGATGGGCTTCATTGTGCGCTCGCTCGTCACGGACAGCTTCGGGGATGCCAACTATGCTCGCGCCGCGGAGAATTTGGGTGTGCTGAGGGAGGGCTTGATTGACATGGAGGAGCCGGGTATCTACAATGACTTTATGAGAGATCTCAAGAAGAAGATGCTCTCTGGGGAGTTGGGCGGTGATCGGAGAGAGATGTGGTGGAAGATTCGGACGTCGAGGCTGGGATTGATCGACCAGTCTGCGTCTGAAGTGTCGAAAGTGACGAGCGACGAGGCTGACGAGTTTTTGAAGTCAAAATAAGGCAAGGGTCCAAGCGGGCGTTGGGTTCTGTAATGATCAAGTTGATTCTGTAGATTCTTATCGAATCTGTGCTACCGTCTATGAACCTGGCTATCTGTGTCCATGTTCTCAAGCTTTCCGCCAGTCAAATGACTCGGTTTCTCTCACCAATCCAAGCTTCCATGCATCGCAAACGAAAAGAAAGAAAGAAGAAATCTAAACCAGGGCATATCTCACAATTCAAGAAACGACAACCTTCTTCTCCGCCGCGGCCTGCTCGTCTGTCTTGGCCCGGACGGCGAGGCCGAGCATGGCTCGCAGAGTGTACGCGGCATCGTTGCCGGCGTTGTGCAGGTTCTTGGATGGTATATCGAGGTCCTGCAGCACAAAGACCAGGCTGCGGCCCTGGGTCTCCTCGCGCCAGGCCTGGTGCATGTCCTTGGTGTCGAGGCAGCGGATCATGCCGGGGACGGACCAAGGGTGGACGTCCATGCCGGTCATAAATGTGAGGTCGGAGCTCAGGCCGTGGCCGACGAGGACGATGTTGCGGGGCGGTTTGTCCTTGTCAGTACTGGAGAGTTCGGCGAAGGCGTTGAGAATCTCGTCTCGGAGGTCTTTGCGCTTGGGGTACTCGCTCTCACTATGGCCCTGGTCAGCAGGAAGAACGAAGTAAAGGGGGGCTCGCGGGGGGGTTTACCCAAAGTCGAAGAGATCAGGGCAACCCTTGATGTACTTCTTGTTGACAATGTGCTTGTAGTCCTCCGTGATGAGGTGACGACTCTTGATGTAGGGGAACCAGTCGCGACCGACCTCGCCGGGTGGAACGCCCACGATGTCGCGGGTGTCGAGAGTTGTCATGCCGACCTCCAGGACGGTCCCATGGTGCTCCTCAGCGACCTCTATGTCGATGCACATGAAAACGACGTCCTTATCCAGGACATGGGGAACCGGCTTGTCGACCTTGACCTTCTTGTCCTTGCCCTCGGTTACGCTGGGCAGAGGTCGGATGCCGAGGTACAGCTGGGCATCGTAGATGTTCTCCTCCCGACTCTGTGTCTTCTCCTGCTTTCTCTTCTTGTTCTTGCTCTTAGGCTGGTCCTCCTTGGCATGGGCGCTGAGGTTGGCCAGGAGGAACTCCATTCCATGTACGGTCGCTTCCTTGCAGGCGTCCTCGTCCTCAGGGGCCGGGATCGCATTCTGGAGGGCCTTATACTCGTTGTGCGAGGAAGAGCGACCGATGTACTTGGGACGGATGGTGCAAGAGGAGCCGAAGGTGAGGTAGAACTTCTCGCTTGGCTTGCCGGGAGGGATGGTCAGCTTCGTCTGGACCGAGGCGTTGATAATGTCGAGGAAGTGGTCGAATTGCTCGGTGGGGATGAAGATGAAAGGGGCTTGGTCGAGTGCCTTGGGGTGGTACACGTAGAAGCTGAGGTTTTTAGTCTTTCGTTCTCGGGGAAGGGTCTCCTGAGGGTGACTTACAAGTCCCAAGTGTGTTCTTCAGTCATGTTCTTGAAGAAGGGGGTACACTGATAAAGTTAGCGGGCCAGTCCTTGCCTTGCAGGAATATAGGGAAGGAGCACTCACCTTTGGCCTGTTGGTCTTGCCAATGTAGTTCGAAGGGTACCGCTTTACGAGATCCCAAGCGACGAACTTGGTGTTCTCCTCCGACCATTCACCCGGCTTCATGGTCTCGTACTTGGGGAAGGTCTTTGTCATCAGCCTGTTGTACTCTTCAGTGGATAGCTTCTCGGAGGATGATGGAATGTAGACGGGTCTCGTGTGGTCCGTCTGTTGGCCCTGCGTTCTGGGGTCCTTGCCTGCCTTGGCGGCCTTGAGAGCAGCGGTCTGGCGGTCGAGTGCGAGGGTATCGAGGATGATCTTCTCAATGACCTCGGATTTGCTGGGGTAGGTGCGGTTCTCGAAGCGGAATCCTTCGCCGAGGAGCTCCTGCATACGCTCAGCGAGCTGGTCGGAGGTTAGGTTGCAGTCTTCGATGGGTTCATCGGTGACGAAGACGTCTTGCGTCTTGAGGTCAGTTTGTGTGGTAGCCATGGTGGAATGAAGTCCAGAAGTTGTGATGTATGGGGAATAGGTCGCCAAAATATCAGAACTGGAAGGATCTTACAGAAGAAGGATGAAGGGGTTCAGGCAAGAGTCAATGTGAATGTGAATGTGCAACTGGTTTGCGTTGTAGTGTGGGAGAGGAAGAGAGTGAATGGTGTCGAGGGTCAAGAAGGGGCTTTTTATGGGTGAGTGTGAAAGAAGCAGGTGAGGATGTGAGCTTAGTTGCTAATGTGAAGATATCGTGGAAGGAGGTGGGTGGGAGTTCCTTCCTGGAGGTGTAAAACAGAGAATATTTGAGGTTTTGAATTCAAGTTGCTTCTCGAGTTGAATGTGAGTTGCGAAAGCACTTCGGTCGGTCAGCTGAATCAAGCAAGCTATCGTTGAACTAGTAGAGAAGGTGAGAGGAAGTGGGGAGTACTCCTCGATCCGTCGATGAAGCTGGGCTCTCTCTGGCGAGATCAGACTAAAGACGTACTGTTATAGAAAGAATTACAACCGAATGTTGTAAATCGGTTGTATGCTTGTATACCTGTTTGCGGCAAGCATATGGCGGCTGGGGACCATACTCGTTTGATTCTGGGCTGAAGCAATCAATGCCACAAGCAACATCTACTATGCAAAGTTGGGATGCACAGTTTGTCCATCAACTGCATACTGGCATTGGGTGAGGCTTGGGTCGAACAGGTCCCATTTGATGATGGCTTCCATGTCATGTCAGGAATTGACCTAGTGGTAATTCCTGAACAGAAAAGTGAATGGTCAACTTGACAAAGACTGAGACCCATGCTTGTTAACTAGGTAGAAGTGCCTGAAAAGTATGAGGAGCCCACAGGATGTCTTCTCACACATCAATTGATGTTCTTTGTCACGATGCAAGTGATTCAGCCTTCATTAGGAGACTAACTGCAGCAGGATCAATCAAGAGCAGTGAAAGATGCCAGGTGAAAGACGACACATGTACAGGAAGCTCCCATTTTGCTGTACTTGCGGCATTTGCTCCGATCTCTGCCTTTGTCCCTGGTCATTCTCCATGAATGTTGTTCGACTTGGGTTCCTGATGACTGGGGCTCCATTCCGTTTGCCAAATGAGATATACAGCTCCTGAAGCTGAGGAACCCTATTCAGTCTCACTCCAAGACCACGAGGGTTTGAAGATGGGATCCTCACAAGAACCTTCAAAACTCAAGCAAGATTTGCACCTTAGAAAACCCAAGCCAACAACCGGGACAAGTTTAAAGTAGTAGAGAAGAGAGACGATTTGGCCTCCTGCCATTAAATATCTGGTCCAACAGTTACTCCCCCTTTCTAATCCGCAAAGGCCAGGCCAAAAGCCGAGTCCCCATTTTTCAATAAACCCTCGGGTCCATCCTTAAAACGCCGCCGCTATGAAGAACGACTAGTCTGTTATACATTCCACCGCCAGCAGAGCCTTCTGCCACACATAATCATTGTCGGGTTCGTCGTCGTCCATGTTATACACGTCACCACCGCCGGTATCCCCTCACGGGGCACAGTCTCAAGACGTTGTCTTCTCAAGCAACTCCTTCGCCTCGTTCACCTTGGTCGCAAGGTACGGGCTTCCGCCACGGTCGGGGTGGTTGAGCAGCATCAGGGTGCGGTGCTGCTTGCGGATCTTGTCGCGGGTGACGCCGGACTCCCTGCAAGTGACATTCAGTCAGCCTTCCCCGAATCTTGGACGAACTTGCTGTAGGATCGAACTTACGACAGAGAGAGGACAAGGCAGGCCTCGCGCTTGTTCATCTTGGGCTCGAATCCGCCCTTGTAGAAAGCCTTGCCCATCGCGCCCACGCCGCCGCGAGATCGGCGCCATGCGACAAGTCCAGCTCGGCCCTGCACGCAGAATTGTTAGTTGCCTGCAACTGATGAGAAGGTCCACACAAGCAGAGAAGCGTACCAGGAAGGCCGCGACAGCAGCGCCAGTTCCGATAGCGAGAACAGAAGCCATGGTTGAGTATATACGTGTGGTGTTGGTACAAGGTGCGGGCAAAAGCGGATCGCGGAAGAAGATGCTGGATGAGGTGGGAGCTTTTTTTTCCCTCCAAAGTTCGCCGTCCACCAAGCCCGTGATGCGCCGGAGATGGCCCGTGCACTTTGTTCAGTCAAGTCAGGGCGGGTCGGCCTTTGATCGGAATGTCGGTTGTTCCGTGTCTCTTTTTTTCTTGTCCTTGAGGTGCTGGTGGAGGTCGGGATGCACTCTAATCTTATCGCATAGTTCGCCCCACCATCCAATCGATAAGGCCGGGCCAAAAAATTTCTAAAAAATTTCCTGAAGGTTTGGAGATCCCCAAGGCCATTTCGATCACCGCCTTCCGCTGAACGAGAGGAAGCGTCAACATCCTACCCACCCAAATCTCTTCCCCTCCCTTTTTCCGACAGATTCGAGCCCGTGATACCCGGTGAGGTATCTACGTCCTCACAATGAGGTACGTCTGCATCATTCCCGTCTTTCTTGCAAGAAAGAAGTGCTGGTATCATCAAAGTTTCAAGCTACTAACAATGCTTCCAGAATCGAAACCTGCTACTTTTGCAGTCGCCCTGCATACCCCAGCAAGGGTATCACCTTCGTCCGCAACGATGCCAAGGTCTTCCGCTTCTGCCGCAGCAAGTGCCACAAGAACGTACGTCTCTAAGCCGCCCGACCTTTGCCCCTCGAAAACCTCGAAGCGGAAGCAACACAGGAAGCCACACAGGAGACAACCAGCTAACCCGAACCGCCTCACCAACAGTTCAAGATGAAGCGCAACCCCCGCAAGCTCAAGTGGACAAAGGCGTACCGCGCCTCGGCGCACAAGGAGATGACGGTCGACAGCACGCTGCAGTTCGGCGCGCGCCGCAACGTGCCCGTCCGCTACGACCGCGACCTCATGGCCAAGACGCTCAAGGCCATGGAGCGCGTCTCCGAGATCCGCGCCCGCCGCGAGCGCGTCTTCTACAAGAAGCGCATGCAGGGCAAGCGCGAGCGCGAGATCGCCGCCGCCCGCAAGCTCGTCGCCGAGAACGAGCACCTCCTCCCCCGCCTGCGCGGCTCCGAGAAGAAGCGCCTCGCCGCGGAGGGCGCCACCGAGGAGGAGATCGCCGCCATCGAGGCCGAGGGCCGCGTGCTGTCCAAGAACAGGGCCGGCAAGGTGTTCGGAAAGGAGAAGGTCAGGCAGCGCGTTACCGTCGACGGAGACGTCGTCGAGGAGAGGGAGGGCGTCATGCAGGAGGGCGACGAGGAGTGGGATGACGAGGAGGGTGACGATGACGAGGAGGGCGACGATGTTGAGATGGAGGATTAAGCGGGCTGGGAGAAAGAGAAAATGAGCGAGACAAAGACAAAAAATGCTAATCGAGGAACCCCTATTTCCCTCTTCTCCTCGACGAGGAGGGTAGGGGGTGACTTTTTGGGTTTCTGGCGTTCAGGTATACAAGGCGGTATAGCATCGACGGCGTTGGTGGCTCTGAGGAATACCAAGAAGAAAAGTTTTCGGGTCAGAACGGTCCATCATTCTCAGTCGCCGCCTTTGCTTTCCGCCCTCTGATGCCGAGCTGTTGCAGCCTGCACAGCTGCAGACGCCGCATGATGGCTTCATGTTTTGCCAGGGGCTAGCGGGCGCTTTGTCTAAGCTGTCCCGAGGATTGGCAGCTGGTTCACAGCATGAGTGCCTTTTCCAAGGTCAGGGAACATAGATATCCAAATGCGAAAAGTCCACATCTACTACCGTCAACGTCATCCAAGCCGAAGTGGAAGTGATGCGCCCAAAGCGAGCGTCGCGGGTATCAATACTGTAGATGTTGTACAAAGTTTTCCCCCAGAACTCCAAGCCGCAGGCCTTCTGCGACCGAAAACCCTGCCTCAAAAACGACGCCCTATAACTCTTACTCCTTCAGCAGCCTTCACGCGACCTCCTTGCTCTCCTTTGTGGATTGATGATAATACGTCTTGGGCGGCATGGGAAGCCCCGCCTCGACATCCTCGATGATCTTCTTCTCCAGCGCCTCTTTGCGCTTGACCTCGTCCTCGGCCGTCTCGCTCCCGGGCACCGTCGAGTCACCGTAGTTGCCCGCGCCGCCCCGCCCAGTAGCGCCCCTCGCGGACCGCGCCAAGCTGGCGTTCACCGCCGCTTGTGTCTTGCCCGCGGCCTCCTCTTGCTGTTTGGTATCCGGCAGCGAAGAGTGATCATAAAAGTTGCCAGCCCCACCACGGCCGGCGCGGGCGTAGGCTGATCCGTTAGAGGGCGATGTCGGACTGGTGGTGGTGGCGGCGGCAGCAGCGTCCTTCTGAGCCTCGACGTCCTGTCATAGGCACCTCGTGAGCCAATGTCTTCTTTCGAACATGCCTGCAGTCGTTGTGACAATTTGAAGTTGCACAACATTGATCTAGAAGCTTTGCATACCTCTGGCTTGGCCTTTTCAACGTCCTCGACGTCCTTTTTCGAGTAAAAGTTGCCTGCCCCGCCTCGGCCGACCTTTCGGAATACGTCAGACATGGCGATAGTCAGTGGGTATCTTGTGTCTAATTAAATCTGGCTCTGAACGTCTGACGCCTGCGCGATGTACGGAGAAAAGAAACGCGATTCGAAAGATATGGCCACGCAGGCAGACAAATCTATTGAATTGTTTAGGCAGGCGATATCTCTGATAAGGGCTGCTGGCTGCGGCGATGAGTGACGTGCGGTTTTGTTGTAAATGAAAGTCATTAGCGGGTTCACCCCTTGGCAGGTGTGGCGCCGCGGGGTTAATCAAAGCTGAGTGGGAGGCCCCGACCACGTTATAGGTGTCCGCAGCCGGTTCTATTTTTCGGCTTGTTCTTTTTTCAGTCAGAAACATTCCTTCGTCAATGAAGACATTCCATTGCCTCCTCTGGTTGCCGCGCGCCGACCGGTTGCCCGAGATTTGTTAGACGAACTGTGCTTTTTTAGGACGTCCTGGCTATTCTCGAAGGGGAAGATGCATGCGGTTCATTGGACGAGGTTAATGTGACGCAGCATTCGCCTGTCGATCGCCGCGTTCGAGCATCCCTCAGTGAGCCTTCATCCTGGGCCTCCCACGTTCGGACAGGAGCCTCGAATTCTGTTCGGATTCGGGCATATTTGAAGGGAGATCGACAGGTACATCGACAAGGCCCCTTGAGACAGAAAAATGAAGAACGACGTCGTTGCTCAACATTGCTCGTAGACCGCACCAAGAGGGAGGCGATTGAAGACCATCATATCAGGTACCCGCGCGGCGCCGCCCTTGCCCGAGGGCCGCTGGGGGGTAACTTTCCCTTTGCATCTCACGATGTGATCCAGAAATAATCCAGGGGTCCAACCCCCTCGATGAAGGAGGAGCGGAACGCACGGGAGCGCCAGCACCCAAACCTTCTCTTCATCCCCGATGAACCTTCCGCAGAATACGGTGTGTGCTCCTGGGGCAAAGGGCAGCTGCTCAAAAATCAAGGAAACGGAGTATGCTTCCACGTGGATTGCTTTGCTGACGCAGGTACGCCGAGAGCAAGCTGTGAGAAGCAATAGTTTGAGCCACAAGGGGGAGGTCAACGACGAGTTTCGCAATGATAACGAGCACAGTTTGGAGAGTACCTTGGGGTACGGCTGGGTACCTGACATGTACCCACTCATTGACAGGGCTCTTGATAGCGACACGCATCTTGCGGAGCCTGGAGGGGTGATGTGCAGCTGCCGCGAGAGGGGCTGGCTAGACGTGCTGATCGCCCTAGCCACTTTTCGAACTCTCGTCCGCTTGTATCTCCGCCGTTTCCTGCTCTCGTCAATTTGACGCGGGGATGGCAGCGCGCAATGATAACTACGGCCGGACCGGGATGGAGAGGTGACGGCTGACTCTACGATAATCGTCCCGATGCCGGTCGAAGAGAAGGGAAAAGAGAAAATCCCATACTCACGTAAGACGAGGCGCAGCTAGCCCTCTCCCGTGCTCGGTCCCATGACTACGAGGAAACAGGCATCTTCCTGATCCATGTCTCGTTTCCTGTAAGACGCGACTTCGGCCGTGAAGCTGTCACCTTCAGTGGGAAACCTTATCTCCTGCACAAGCAGGGTTGAGTCTCTGAAGACCGTACACTATCCGTACCGGCACAAACGGTTTGTGCAGTCATTGTGCGCGACTGAAAGATCGGCGGGAATTCCTGCCTTGATTGGAGAGCTCATGCATGGTGTTTCCAGCTTCGGGATGGCATGGCACTGTTCAGAGAGTGAGGGGTGCAGCTGCACGCCTACAGGGCATGACCCTGACGCTCGTGTCTCATGGAGTTGCCCTACAGAACCACACTGCTGAAATTTTGTGAGCAATCGTCGATTCGGCCCAGGAATTTCCTCTTCATCCGCACGGCGGACTGGGTCCTCCCTGTTTAATAGCGCCGACAAATGGGGATAGAGTTGACGATCGACATCGAGTCGGCCATTCTGCTGTGGAGTATGCGATTGTTGGGCGACTTGGGGCGTTGCCCTTGGTGCGTTTTTATTCTGCCCGAGCCAACTTTTTGAAAACTTTTGGACAGGTTGTCGGAGTGCAAACCGATGGGTCTGCGTGCCATGATTTGTCGAGTGCGTGTGAAGGGAAGGGATTGAAGTAATGTTTGTCCAACTCGTCGGAACAGCTGTCGATCCTGAACATGGATGCCGACTTGCAAGCTGTGGCAGCGCCAATCCGCCTCTTGCGTGGATCGGACATTGGTGATGTTGATTCCCATATGCAACTTTGAACAACTGTTCTCTCGGCTGCCCTCGATGCCGTCTGCCCCGTCCACGTAAGACAAGTCCTTGCAACTTAATATCAAAGTCCTTGTTCAGGGCGTGTCGAGTCGCGGTTGAGCCGCTTGTGAGACCTTGACCGCTTTGCTGGGGCTCAATAGCAAGTCAAGTCCCTTAACCAGACCGACAAGATCCTAGTGAATCTCGGGCGTCTGACCAAACCAATATGTTTTCTGCGAGAAGGTCATCTGTCGGT